TGTTTCATAACTGATGTCCAGGAGACAATATATTGTTCTATTGTTTTCAAAGGCTTAAATAGAATAATAACCATAACAGGGAAGTACATTCATGGATATTATTTTGCGTATAGTAATCGGTATCACACCAAACACATTGAAGATAAGAAATGTAGGCACATCCATTTTCCCGTATTTGAATTATACTACCACAAAGTTTGAGTTAACTGGATAAACAAATATTCAGCAGACGTCTGTGTCGAAGTTTGATCAATTTTATTCGTTAAGCAGAAACACATGGTTTGAAAATGGTGTCTGTTTGAATAACAGAATAAAACAGCACTTAAGCAGCCATCTCCATTAATGCAAGAATACTATGTTGCATTTTTAATTGGATGTTGTTCATGATTGTAAATACCAAGACTAGTTTTAATTGGCTAATCATGTTTTAAACCAAAGCAGTTTAATTATGAGGTCAGATTCTCGTACATCACTGGTATTATTTTCATACCATCCTATATTGCAGCAGCCAATGCTGATATAAAGGAACAAGTAAAGGTTAATTCCATGCTTAAAAGGGAAGAAAAGAAACACAAAGTTTCATCTATGGAACCTTCTGAAAACGTTGTTTCTTCTCTTTTAGGCACGGTATAAACCTTTACTTGTTCCTTTGTAGCCTACGCATGCTGACACAGCTACAAACTTGAACTTCTTCAATGCTGGTGAAGTTGGTTGGTTTACTAAAGTCAATTGGTTTACTAGCGCTGATGAAAGTTTTGAAAAGAGAAAATACAGCTTAAAATGCCATCGTGGTTGACACAGCTGTAGTATTATTGTGAATTAGCAAAAACCTGGAAATTTCCCTTCTAGAATTGAAGTCACACAGTGACGTTGAGCAGTAGAATGTTAGGGAAACAATGGTGCAGTGACAGATCTTGAATTACACAGGAGAATAATTGTACAATATTTTAAATCAGTTTCCCATAGAATTATACCTATCAGGGTAAACTTTTTGCATTTTAATGTTTATGCCAAGATTTGATTAGTTTTCATGTCACCATTTTATTTTGGGGTTTTTTAAGTGAGCATCATGAGATGTTTGAAAAATGTAGAGGTAATTAATGACAGAGCCATTTTTTTAATAGAGGCAGGCTGAAATATAACAACAAAATACCTGTAAGGTAACCATTTGGGTTATGCAGCATGATGCCTATTTTATCCCATTTTGTTTTGTCATTTGAGTGATATCATTGCGATTAGTTTTTGAAGAGGTCCAGTTTGCAGTATACTGTATATAGGCTCCATTCAACATAAATTTCATGGCAATGAAATAAAAGAGAAATTATCACAATGACTTGAGCACACATAAAGAAAGTCTGGGAGATGATTTTTGCCATGTTTCAATTCATAGTGCAGCAGTTCCCTATACAATTTTGAAAAGTTTCTCAAACGTGGAGTTCAGGCCAGCATCTTATTTGACACAAATATTTTCTGTCACATATCATTTGTCTCCAGCGCTATACGTGCCACATTTGGATTTTATTGGCTATGTGGAGTTTTGAAATTTAAAAATCCTTTACAATTGTTAGAGCTTTCCATGCTTAGAAACCCTAATAAATACATAATGTTAGTAAATTGTGAACCTAGGACAGAAAAAACCCAAGTGCAAGATACCATCTTCTTCATCTCTGAGACTTTTGTAAAATATATTTAGCAGTATTTAGAACATATCTGTTTCAACAGATAGTCACTTATGTTGTGTAATTTATTTGGAAGTTAAGAAAAAAGTTAAACTTCTGGCTTTCGTGATGTGTCTGTGTAAGTTGAACCAGAGCCTAAAGAAAGTATGACATATCCAGTGTGTCACAAAGTTACATCTGCCTATAAATCATTTCTTTAAATTGAAAAAAAAACTGTAATCTAATGTCTTGATCTGTGATTTGGCATGCCCTGCCCCTAAGCTTGAGATTATAGCATGGAAATTAAAATGACTCCATCAGAACACAGGCTCATTTATCATGGTCCCATGTCATCCCCCTTGTCATTAACGATGAAACTGAAATGCTTCATCGGTTCTAATTGTAGCTCTTTATTGTAATCATGTGTAAAACTTGCAATACTTACAATAGAGAATTCTTAAGGAAATCAGATGTCACATTTTATTATACTTTACACTATTGATAATTTCAAGATGTAGCATATTTATTTGTGATGTACTGTGTACATACTGTTAATGTTTTGTACCCTTGAATTTTAACTTTAAATTCCACCACAGACCAATACTATTCTAATACTAAGAGATACTATTCCTTGTTTTAAATAAAAACAGTTTGTTGAGGATAAGGTGCTAAATACAATCAGATTAAACTTCTTTAGCCAAAAGAACTTGAGAAACTATGTTTCTGGCAATAAAAACACA